TGTTGCCTCCCTTCTACTCAGAACTACAGTGGCTCCCGTGTGAACACCAAGTGCAAGCCCAGGGCTTGGTACACAGTATTAGGGGCCCTATCTCCCGCCCACCCCACCCCTCGCCTTGCCTACCTGTCTTGGCTTCTGTTAGTGTTCCTTCCTCTTCTCTCGCTCTATCCCACCCACACTTGCTGCTTCTGGAACATTCCAACACCATCTTCCGTCTCTGCGCTTTCCAGGTTTCCTCCACGTAGCCTGCTGCTCTCTTGCGCGCGCGCGCTCTCTCTCTCTCGCTCTCTCTCTCCTAGTCTTTGCTCAGACGCTTCCTTCGAAAGGAAGTCAGACTTTCCTATTTGAAACTGTAAGCCTGTGCCTCTCCCTTGTTATACAATCTACTTAGTTGTTTATTTTCTGTCTGTCCTTCCTACAACGTAAGCTCTGTGAGGGCAGGGACTTCTGTTCATTGTTATGTGCTCAGCACCAACAAGAGAGCTTGGCAAATAGTAGACGCTTACTGTTAACTGAATAAATAATATCATGGGGGTCAAAAAATACATATGTGACTTGTAAGACCAAGCAAGCTTTACTGAGCAGTGTAAGTGACTTCAAAAATAACTGACAAGACACGGGACGATACAATAAAACAAACACGGTAAATGAGCTTTGAGACCTTAGGAACGCTGGGAGGCTAAGAAAAAACATTAACTATCATAGCATTTTTTAGATGAATGTCCCAGAACTCTAAGCTGCAGTTACAATGTAGCTTTTTTTCATGGTCTCATAGATGACCTAAGAAATGCAAAGCTACTCATTTCAAACTAAAGATTTAACAATTATGGAAACAAATGTCCACCCTGAAGTGGATTCAGCTTTTCCCAAGTCAAAGACATGAATGGGAATCCTAGAGTTAAAATTATTTCAAAGCCCCTACTTTCTAGCCTGTCACATATATAATAGGAGGCACAGATTATTAGCCTTGCTCCCTTTCCCTCCTTGATCCTTCATGAGAAACCAAGGAAATAATATCAAGAATCTGTAATATTTGGCAATAAAATATCTTAAGAATTGTTTTTCAAAAAAAAAAAAAAAACGAAAGAAAGAAAGGAAATTACCTGGTATAGTCACATTACAAATCTCTCATTTTCTCTACCATTTGCTTGCCTTTGTCCCTTCAGGAAGTCCCAACATTATGTGAGTTAAAGGCGAAGGCTGAAATGTGGCTCATTCGAACCTATTGGGATCTTGAATTTCCTCATCCATCGTTTTTTTATACTAAAAAAATAAAGATTTTGATTTGACAAAAAAAAAAAGTTTAATTAAATAAATATTGTTTTTCCTGCATAGACAATGTCACAGAAAATGTTTCCTTCCAAATACACAAAAATGGTGACCAGTAGTTATTGTTTAAGTGATGTTTTTGAAGGCGTTCCAGCCTAAGAAGAGGTGTAGGAGCATATTAAACAATGGGTTTTTAATGCCGTCTCTGCTAAAATTTGGGGGGTTTTTTTCCTTTTCTTTTCTTTTTATACCCAGGAATAACAAGCAATTGCCAGCAAAGCTAGAATAGGAAAATCAAATACTCTGACTATTTACACATGGTTCCCCAAAGCCGTTCCTGATTAAAAATTGTACCATTTCAATCTTCCCACTGGAGATATCTATTAACTAGAACTGCTTGTGAAGCCAATGAATTTAGTACATAATTACACGTATCCTACACAAATTACTTCTCAATGACCTCTACTCACAGAAATAAACCAAAGAGGGATGACTGGCTCATTATAAATCTACACGAAGGTTTCACTGGGAAAAGGTATTGAGAGCAAAGTCCTAAAAGATCTTAAGCTTTACCTGAATTTAATTTCAGCAGGAAGTAATCACTTCTTTTCTGAATTCCCAATGCGATGACCATGAATCTTTCCTGTGGCATGTAATGCTCTCTTGTCACTAAGTGACTATGTGACCTTGGACAAATCACTTCCACTCTCCCCACCTCCGTGTTTTCATCTGTGAAATGAGAGGCTTGGACTAGGTGATTTCAGAAGTCCCTTCCAGATCTGATGTTTCTTCATTTCATCATGATAATCACAAGAGCACACCTTATCTCACCTGTCCTCCCCAGGCAAGAACGGCATTCGATTTACCTTAGGAGTCTCCACACTATCTAGAAGAACTCTTTTGTTCGGCTTTGGGGAACCATGTGTAAATAGAGAATTTGATTTTCCTATTCTAGCTTTGCTGGCAATTGCTTGTTATTCCTGAATATATATAAAATTAGGCATTGAAAACCCATTGTTTAATATGCTCCTACACCTCTTCTTAGGCTAGAACACCTTCAAAAACATCACTTAAACAATAAATATTGGTCACCATTTTTGTGTATTTGGGAGGAAACATTTTCTGTGACATTGTCTTTGTAGGAAAAACAATTCTTAAGACGAACGTCCCTTAGCCAATGCTCAACAAACAAGTTCAAGGACACACAAAAACAGTCCAGTTGTCTGAAATGTCCACTCTCTTTGCTCCCTTTTAAGCCCTTCCCAACCCCAAACATGATTTTATCCCCATGGCTCTCTTCAAGTCCAGCGTTATCATACCTCTGGCAGCAGTATAAAGCCAGAGAAATAAACATGTAACTTGTTACCTGGAAGAAGGCTCTTGGAAGAAATGCACCCACCAAAAAGCCTCAAGGGGCATGCTTCGTAAACCCTGTGACCCAACATCACACACACAGCCAACAACCTAGAGAAAGCTTCCATTTCATGGAATAAGCTAATGCAATTCAGTCCTCTGAGAGCCTGTGTGGCAGCTACAGCAGGAGCTGTGGGGAGAAGAGAGAGGGCGGGGAGACGCGAGGGTATCAGCATCTGCAAGGAAGGGCAAGCAGGCTATTCCCCAAACCCATCCAGAGCTGGACATTTCAAAACCCCAAGTCCCAGAGGCAGCTAAACTGCAGGGACAGGAAGTAACTGTTCATCAGGCAGTCGGCCTCAGCTGTTAGGACTCTGAAGCTAGAGTGGCGGGGTTCCCATTCTAGCCCTACTAATTAATAGCTGTGTATAACCCTGGAAAAGTGAACCGTCCCTGTGTGCCTCAGTTTCCTCATCTGTAAAAGGAAGATAACAGTAGTATTTCGTTCATGGGGTTGTTGTAAATATTAAATGAGCTAATATGCTTCTATCAGTGGCTGGCACATAGTAGGTCCTCCATAAAGGAGAGCTCCCGGTATTGCTATTATTATGAGAATTCTGAGAATCTCGGGGTTTAAGAAAACAAAGGACGCAACACCGCTTTTACAGATCTGAATTCTGCAATTCCCTCCTCGAGGGGATAATTGTAAGGATAAACCTTCATATATTTATGTGTATTTGGACACTTTATCAGCCTTAACTACTCCTGACCACAGAAACTATTCATTAAAAATTTAAATTCCTTTCTGAAAGATACTCTAGATTTCAAAAAACGACTTGATCACCCACACTCTGGGAGGACAATAGGACTATTAAACCGGGGCCCCGTGTACCTGGGGTAACAAAGGCACCTTTGTCGCCCACTGAGCTATCACATGCCACTGCCTGGGTTTCAGAGCGTTGTCTCCTTAGGAAAGAAACTAACAAACGCCATTGTTGGTTCACATCAGAGTTCTTGGATGCGATAGTTCTTAACCCCCTGGCGAGGCCTTATTAAAGATCAGAGGATCTGGGTTCTTTCCATTAGGGCAGCATCAAATCCCCTCCAAGCAATTTTCTTAGGTCAGCATCATTATGTGAGATGCCAGAGAAAGCGGTGCCATGTCCAACCGCTGAACTCATTCCTTGTTTCGGGCGAAGACTTAAGGTAAAGTTAGAAAATATTTTAGCTCTCCTGAGGAAATTTTCGAGACTGGGAAATGGTAAGAAATTTAAAGAGAACCATGAGAATTTCTTCTTTAAATCCCTTTTCCAAAACAGTCGTTTTAGTAAACGAAAAACAAATAACAATGAAATCCCGTTAAATAATTACTTGTCAGACAACAATAGCCCTTATAAGTTCCGGCTAGGTTCCCGGGTAGGATATCTAGAACTCCGGTTTTCCAAACATCTTTCAATAAACAAGTGGAAGAGATAAGCAGGCAAGAGAGTCAAGCCCGTGTCTTGTATTCCTTTGTCAAACGATCAGGCAAAAAAGAAAGTCAGCAATGGTCATGCTGCCGTCGATATAATCAACTGCCCTTTTAATATTCCCGTTCTGAAAAACAATGGAGACCCCAAACGCCCAGAAACTGAACAACAGAAGGAGGAAAATTGGGGTGGGCCACAAAACAGATAGCCTATGATCTCTGTTCCAAGCGGGCCAGATTTCCAAAAGGGCAAGAACCAGTTCCCCACAGCAACCCTATTAGGTCAAAAACTGCAGAGCTGATGGGGGGGGCTGGAGAATTTCCGGAGAAGAGAGAGCTGTCTGCCTACAAAACCCACCTCCGCTGCTTCTGGCAAGGTAGGACAGTAGTCAAAACTGTACGAAGGCAAGAACACGTCCATCTTTCACAAATCACTCCCATCAAGACAGTGATGTCAACCATAATAAAATATTTTGGCAAGGCTGGAAATGTGCACCTGTGGGAACCTAGGGAGATCTGACAGATTTTTGTTTTCCCAGCCCTTTATCAGCAAGTTAATTATAGCAACTGTTCAATCGACTCTGAGCTTCACAGAAAGGCAGTTGGCTGCACGAAACCAAGATGATGCTCTCCTGGGCATGGGAAAGACAAAATGACAGCAGTGCTTACACGTGAAAATATTCTCTCTGCGTTCAGTCTAACAATGAGCCAGACAGCGCAGCTAGGGGAGAAAGAGGAATGTACATTCTGCGGATATGAGGTAGTGGTGAACCTAAAAAAGACACACAGCACCCGTGCACACCCACACCCACCCACACAAACGTGCACGCAAGCTCACTTATAGCTCCAGAGCCTACGCCACTCTGGTCGCGTTACACGCAGGGCTGCTCGTCCCCAGGGCAGACTGTACCTTCGAAGCTGTAACTGTACACGGCCACCGCTGACCTTTCCACCAGATTTTCGTCGTGATGCCAGCTCACGGCCATCTTCCCCATGCCAAAATAAGGCTCCTCTTTCAGATATGGCATTTTCTGGGGATCCATGAAATTCAGCAACGTGACGTTGTACGCGGACCTGTTCCTAATGTCCACTTCGTCCTGTCCATCAAAAGACCCCATGCCAATCCTGGGGAAGTCTGGACCTATGCACACAGGCACGACATCGATGTTGGCCTTGTCTCTGGCGACGAGTTCTTCCCAGGCCTGGATGGTCTCGACCTGCAGGTAGTCGTTGAGCTTGAGGAAGGCTTGACAGGCAGTGGCGATTTCAGCCTCGCCGTATCTTGTGTTAGAGCCCTTCACGGGCCAGGGTACGGCGAAGAGCCTGGTGTTCAGGTACTTGTAGGTGCAGCCCGGGTTCCCGATGAGGATGCGAGATACGGGAGTGAGCACATCTTTTCCCTGGACCCTCACCAGGTCCCGGAAGAGGACGCCGTGCTTGTGCAGGGTGAGGAAGGCTGCTTGCACCTCTCTGTGGAGCTCCTCAGGGACGCTGCCGGATTCTCGGAGAACTAGCTTAGGATATTTCAGTTGCCACTAAAACAAAACCAGAGCAAAAGTATGTGTTTATGGATCACGTTAGTTTTATTATTTCCCAAAGGATGCGTGTGTGTAAGCATTAGGGGCAGAAAAAAAACAACAACTGTCTGGTGGCATTTCTAAAGAGGATTTGCTTCTCTCGAGCCTAACAGAAGACTAAATAAAACAAATGTCATCAACTCCGCAATCAAGATTTTCAAGTTCAAATTCAATTAAGAATCTTTAATATAAACAAAATAATATAATTTGGGCTGTGAATTCTCAGGCTCCCTCTATGACCACGTCTCCCCACTCTCCATCTGTCTTGCAGCCGTGGGCCCTCCAGAAAACACAATTTTATTGATCACCAGCTTATCGCCTATGCAGTAAGCGCTTACTATGTGCCATAAACTGTTCTAAGTGATTTATACACATGAACTCATTTACTTCTCACAACTTTACATGGTAGTACTATTCTGATCTCCAGTTTAGAGATGAGAAGACTGAAGCATAGAGGCATTTAAAAAACTTGTTAAAAAACAAATCACATAAATACCGGAGCTGGGCCTTGAAGCCACTGGGCTCCAAGAGCATGAATTCTTAACCACCAGGCTGCACCGCCTCTCAATAAACGACAAGCCCATTTCTCTGTCAACACGTTCACTGAAAGAGGAATCACTTCTCTCTGGGAGGCAGACACTAAGTTCCGTAAACACAAGAGGCGATTTTGTTCACAATGAAAATGCTAGTGTCTAGAATATACTCAGTAAATTGTCAATGAATGGATGGATGGATGAGTAGGGTATTCCCTTGCAATTTAGAAAGTTGTAACCATTTCACTGGAGTCGCGGGAGGAGAGTACTATAAGATAATTCTCTCTAATACGGAAATGCGGGCGTTTATTGATGCAGTTTAGGCTGCATTCCCTTTTCAGCCACCACTGCTGGCCCCTAGGACCTGACATGTGAATTGGTTTCAAGCCGGGCTTCCCTGACTCCATAGAACAAAATTAACTTTTTTTTAAACCAAGGCACGGGATTTTACATTTATTCCAATAAAGTTTAATCTGATTGGCTGCTTCTTAGTATTGTGCTACTGACCATTTTTGACATACTTTCTGTCTATATTTTCATTCAATAATTGCCATTTATATGACAAACAGAGCAAGACCATTTATTCTTCCAAACATTTGTGGGGTTTTTTCATTCAAAATATGTCTTTAGAGCGCCTACGGGATACGAGGCAGGAATCAGGTTCCTGCTCTCACAGGGCTTTCTACCACATCAGGTAAATAAATAAGGAAAAGTAACCCCAAATTGCTTTAGGTACTAGCCCAGAAACAAACCAGTACGAGATGTATTATTAGCATAGGAGAGACTCTCTGAGGAGATGGCCTTTAAGATTAAAGCTGAGATCTTCCAGAAAAGAAGGTAGCAGCATGTGACAAGCCAGGCAAACAGCTTCCCAGGAAGGGGGGCGAAAAACTACAAAAGCACTGAGGATGGAGACCAGTGTATTCTAGAGACAAAAGGAAGGCCACTTTACCAGAGCAGAACACCAGAGTGACAAGAGGTGCCAATTAAGAGGAAGGCAGAGGCTGGAGCACACCGAGCTTGGGAGGTCACAGTCAGGACGCCGGACTTGACCATAAAGGGCACTGGAGGACTCACAGGGAGAAGAGTAATTTGACTTTCATTGATAAAAATCACTCTTACTGAAAATACCAGGCATGAATTGGAAAGAGGCAAACATGAACGTGGAATAATCTATTAGGTGCTAGTACAACCATCCAGGAGAAAAGTGACGACGGTCTGGATGAGAGGCAGAGATAAATGGACACACAAAATCATATTTAATAGAGAGAGCAAAAGGATGTGCTGATGGGTTAGATGTGAGGGATGGAGACAGGAAAGAAGGCATGGGTGACTTCCAAATTTCTGGATTTAATAAATGAATAAACAGTTTACTATTTTTAAAGTAAGAAATGGTAGAGAGAAGAATAGAGAGGAAAGAGGAATTCCATTTTGGAGCTACAGCCATCAGGATACCTATGAAATCTTCAGGTGGAAACGGCAAGGGGCAATGGATAGACAGATGCGGAGCTCAGAGGAGAAAGTGGGCCGAGGGAACCGGGGGAGCTGTGAGCACACAGGTGGCTTGCAAAGGCCTGGAGACTAAGGAGCTGTCCTTCGGAAACAGCACAAATCCAGAGGAGAGCCCAAAGCCACTGAGTCACAGAGGAAGGCTGACAGCAAAGGAGACCAGGTAGGAAATCGGGAGGGTGTGTGAATACAGAAGCCAAGAGGAGGACGGAACGGAATATTCAACCATGTCAACTGCCCCCGAGAGGCCAAGGGAGGTGAGGACAGAAGTTAGCCACTGGGCTTGGCAGCATGGAGATCACTGGTGACAATGACAAGAGCAATTTCTGAAGAGCGATGGGGAAGAGTCGGGTAAGCGTTGGCTGGTGGCGGATGAAAGCGAAGGAAGCGGAGAGGGCCCGTATAAACGCTGCTTGGAGGTAGGAAAGGAAGCTGATGAAGGAGAATGCTGGATCAAGGGGCAGCCCTTTACAACGAGAGCAGCGACACTGGGGTTTGTTATACTCGTGGGAATGAGACAGGAAGACGCTGATACTGCAGAAGAGGGGTGAGTAGCCAACCACAGCAGCAAAGGCTCTGAGGGTCTAGAACAGCAGTCTCCCAGGCGGGGCAGGTATAGACCCGGTGGGATTTGTACGGCAATCCACTAGCACTGGGGGAGGCGGGGCTAGTAGACCTGTTTCACTTTTCATCTAAAAAGAAAGAAATCAAGTTTTACTAAACTATGTGTACATACATGTGTCACCCCAGCATACAGGTGGTATGCTGGAGTCACTCCGTATCAGCTCGAGAAAGCCTATCGCATGTACATCTCTTCCCAACCGCACAGTCACTAATGCCATGTTGGCGGGTTGAAGTCGGCCAGAGTGGAGTATTTACACCACAGAAATCAGGACACTCTAAAAATCAAGGCTGTTCTTTCCCCCCAGAGAACCAGTTGTCAAATATTTAGCAGGACACCACTGTTTATGCTCGAGCTTTGTTACTGACAGGAGCATATGATCAAAAACATTTGCAAAGGAGAAAGTATACTTCCTGTATTGGAATAGGCTGGAAGGAGAAAGAATATACACACTCAGATAGGACCATAAATTTGATAACAGGCAAATGAGTAAGTTTCAGGGTTCTGGGGGGCACAGGGTGGGGGTGCTTCCATTTTTCTCAGTGAAAACGTAAAACGAATCACTACGAGTACGTGCTAGTCATTAGGACTGTCTGCCAGATGGTTCTGGATTCCTCTCCCATCGCCCAGCTTTTGGGGCCCAATGGAGAATTACGCTTCCTGGCCCCCTCCAGTTGGATGAAACACGACTACTTCCGTCCAGTGAGAAATGATAGCTGTCACTTCTAGCCCGGGGCAGTTCATTGTCAGTGGCAGGCCCTCCAGAATACTTTTTTCCCCTTTGGCATAGTACCCAGCTGGTGACTGCTTGGATTTCTGAGTTATTACTTTAATGGGTAGTGACTCTCTGCCAACCCACAAATGATACGTAAAATGCACAAGAAACGCTGCTGGACGAAGCCACTGAGATTTGGTTGTTACTACAGCATCGTTTGGCCTGTTCTGGCTGACCCAGGATGCAGGCACTAGAAAGTCAGAAGGAAGTCTGGGGAAGCATGCAGAAGAAAAGGGAGTCAAGTCGGAATGAAGGGAAATGAATTTAGGAAAGCTTATAGGATTGTCTTGCATCTCAGAAGGCCCATCTGAGGTTTATGACCATAAATTTAAAGTGACAAAGAGCAGAGTTCTGTGGCATAGCACTCTGGACTGTCGTGGAGGCTGCCGGGGATCTGCTCAGAACTTCTAGTTTCTATACCTCATTTATCCCGAGGGGAAATGAAAACAGAAAGGTCACACTTTCTGTTTACACAGCTCACGAAGGCAGCCGTGTAATCTAGTAAGCCAGACAGAACATTCTGGAGCAGGAACTAATTTTATCACTACACTGGTTCTTCTCTGAGCAAATCCCTGAGACCTCAGTATAACCTCAAGTACATCTAACTAGCAGTGATAACTAAGAAGGAAATTCGTCCACAGTTGCTTAACAAATTCAGTGTTATTTTATGAGTCCTTAATGTAAAATATTAAGGAAAGGTAAAACAATTCCAAGGAACTTTGTTTTAGAACACACTCCTTCTGGGGCTGACAGAGGAAGGCGGCGAAATAACACAGACACATACGCATACTCACACCTCTCGGGCTGGTATTGTTCAGTATGTGCTGGGGCTGGAGGCTACAGAAAATATATTTAACACAGGCCAATCATGATTCTAAGGACCCGGGAAATTCACATAACCTTGTGAGTATCACGTGGAAATACCCTGACGTTAAAAACAGCATTCTAAAAATAAAACCATAATAATGACATGGGACAGTGTTCAAAACATTTTTTTTCCCACTGGTACCTCATGGCCCTTTCCCCACTGACCATATCTGCCTCCTATCCTACAGGCCTCAGGGCCCAGTCCTTCACCTTCTTCAGGGTGGGCTGTTCCCCCAACTCTCTACCTGGCAGGTCCCTCTCATCTTCCAGGTCACTTTCTCAAAGAAACCGTCCCCGAGTTTCCACCCTCAAACAAGTGTCCCCGTTGTCATTCACCACGCACTTGACTTATCTTCCATAGCTCTCATCAGTCTATAACTAAGTATTTATTTGAACGATTATGTGTTTCATAATCTCTCCTGGAGACTGCAATCTCCTAAAAGGTGGAGATGTTAGTTTTTTTATTCTCCATGATGCCTCCAGCACTTGGCTCCAATATGAGTGCTTAAGGCTTCTTCGTAAGAATCAAAGAATCAAAGCTTTAATACCGATAGGAAGCAGATTAGTGAGTGCCTGGGCTGGGGGTGGGAGGCTGACTGCAAAGAGGCACGAGGGCTCTGTTGGGGTGCTGGAAATGTTCTAACACTACTGGGGCGACGACTGCACAGCTCTGCAAATTTACTGAAAATTACTGAATTGTACAATTTTAAAAGGTGAACTTATGGTGTGTAAATCGGACATACATACAGTTTATCAACAAACTGTTTTAAAAGGAAGACTGTTGCATTTGAATATACAAAATTTTAAACTTTTGTATAAAAAGGATTATAAAATTAAAAGGCAAACACTAACTAAAAAAAATATTTGCAATTTATATGGCAGAAATGGGCTTAATACTCTTAAAAAAATTCCAAATTTATACATATACACATATAAATCTATACATATATATCAATAGAAATATTCACACTTAATACAGACGGCTCTTCAATATAGAATTTTATTTAATTTAGTTTTGCCTATTAAAATTTCAAAAAATAAATTTTTATCATAGCAATACACGTTGTTGGTGAGTGCAAAATCAAATATTCTGATAGTCTGCAATTAGAAAATGCAAATACTATAACCCCACTTAGGGCCAACTGGTCAAAAATCTATCAAAACCTAATATGCTCATATCTTTTCATCCAGTTATTCTACTTCTAAGAATTTATCATAGGGAAATAGAGAAATTTATCAAGATTATAAGGTTATTCACCATACTGTTATTTATAATAATTAGAAACTGAAAACCACGAAGATGCTCAATAGGAAATTAGAGAAAATGACACATCATTTATGTGATGAAGTACTAAAGTAACGCACTTTAGAAGGATTTTTATATTGTTTTATGAAAAATGTAAGTAGAAAAACTACTGTTATACAACAAATTAGTAACAAGATATTTAGATAAAATCCTAGTTTCATAAAAAGAAAAGAATGTAAGTATGTAAATACTCACCAAAA